GGGTGTGGGGGGGGGGGTGTTACCCACAGAAAAGCCCTCTCTTAGAACTGCATTGATGCATCGTTCACCCGGGCACGCAGGAGGCGGCACCATGCGTGACGGCGGTCCTGGCGCCAAAATTACGAGGGGCGGGTCGCATTACATAGGCGCGAGCCCTGTGAAATAGGACGCGCAAGAAAGCAAAGATTTCGCCGCGTTTCTTAATAAAAATGTTTTAAAAATTCTACCGTTTGTAGCGTGTTTGCTTCTCTGTTTGCAAACAGCACCCAGCAACGCGTCTGAATAGGCAGACGTGACGCAAGCAATTAGAGAAATAACCAAACGTACCGTCATTGTCTCATTATGCTAATTTATGCTTTAAAAAAAATTAATCCCCCATTCAGACTCGACGCGATGTCCTGATATTATTGCAATTTTGAAAAGAATATTTTTTTAAATAAAATTATTTTATGTCCCCTCCCCTCCACCTTTAGTTAATTGCTTTTTTTCCCCCTCATTACCCACAGTCATATGACTGCTGTGCTCGTGGGGTTAGATTTAAATGACTTAACAAACGTCAATGGAGTTTGAAGGGCTCCTCGCCTGGTCCCTGCTAGACCACTGCAAGAAAGGTACCGCAAGTTTTAACATGGGACGGCGTGGTCGAACCTCGGGTTCTTGCGCGAAGAACTATCCCTGAGTCCACCCAGCTCTGGATGGGTACCTGACTCACGTTGTTTCCTCTAAGTTGCGCGGCCGCGCAGTAGTTTTGCGCTGCCGCGCAGTGATTTTGTAAAATAAATATATCCTTGTATAAGACTTTTAGAACAGCGCGCAAAGAAAATAGATTTTGCACACTAATTTTTCCCTATTAGAGGGAACATTGCTCACGTTAGGGAAAAATAAAGGCGCTGACCACATTATTATTGACATTATCCCTTCATATGCCGAGGTCACAGAAACAAGTGGACTCTACTTCACCTGCACTACGAACCGTCAAGTTCGAAAGTGTTCTTTACTTTTTAATAATTTTTTTTTACAGCTATCCTACTTTGATATTCAAACTCTCACCACCTAACCCTAATTGTATCTACCACCTACTCAGACTAAAAAAAAATGTGGGTATGTCTGATCCATACGATCCGGTTACCATCCGAAACAAACCGGACTCCACATACACCGGATCCGGTTTCCCCAATCAATAGAGGTAATGATTACGTGGATTTAGCAGGCCCACTGCGGTGATCGGGTTTATCATCATACGTTTAACAGTTTAACGGATTATGATAAAGGGTCAGGATAAACATCATTAATTTAACAGCTTAACGGATTATGCCAAATAACACAAAATATTACCCCCGACCGCAACTTAGTAATTAAAACTATTAGACGAATCATATCTGTCTCTCTATTTAAACGCCGATTAGACGATTCAGATCTATCTAAACGCCGATTAGACGATTCATATGTCTCTCTATTTAAACGCCGATTAGACGATTCAGATCTATCTAAACGCCGATTAGACGATTCAGATCTATCTAAACGCCGATTAGACTATTCTGATCTGTCTCTCCATTTAAACGCCGATTAGACGATTCATATCTGTATTTTTGAAACTTTGATGGTCCCTACACTTCACGGCACATCAAGTCTATAGAGGTCTAACATTTTTTTTTCACTTGATGCAATTGAGCAAGTCCAAAGAATGAAATGTCGTCTTGGTTACGTCCCTTTCTTCCCCTTTCTTCCCCCCTTCCCCACACACATCTAAGCCTTAGAGCAGATTTATTTTATTATTAAATTGGGGTTTAAAATTTGATTTTTTATTTAAATATTATAGCTATACGGTTTTTTAAAATTCTCTCAAATCATCTTTTTAAAACCAGTTTTAATTATAATTTTTTTTGCGCTATTAAACACTTTACGGTAGTTTAAACACCATTTAAGCCTAAGCAAACAATTAAAAAATGAACGTGAAATATTGGCAAAGCCGCAGAACATTTATCTGGCATAAAACCTATCAAGCGTAAGGCTTTACTGTACATAAAATTTTAAATGGCCGATTAGCCATTCTGTTTATTAAGCCACAGACGATAGAGGTTGGTTCTTTATCTATGGGGTTAGTGTTATATATATGACTTGGGTTAAAGGTCATTACCGGCGTACGGCACATTTGGCAGGTAAAGTAGAGTTCACCTGGTTTAGTGACCTAGGCTTATGAAGGGATAGCGTGGTTAGCACTAGGCCCAACTGCCTTTATTTCTCAAACATAAGTCCAGAGTTTCTTCCAGGCATCTCTTCGGGGGGGGGGGGGGCGAAGCCCCCCCCCCCCCCCCGAAATTTTTTTTACCGCACCCCCCAAAACGAAATGAAATTTATATAATTTATATAGAAAATATATACTTTTAACAGTGTCAGCCCCCCCCCCCCCCGAAGAAAGTTTACCGCCCCCCCCCCCGAAGATTTCAATTGCCCCCCGGAGAAAAAAGTCTGGAAGAAACACTGCATAAGTCAGGTACTCATCAGAGCCTGGATGGACTCATAGGTTGTTCCACGAGCCAGGAATTCGAACTCGAGACTTTCGGGCTAGCAGTCGTAAGCTCTACCACCCGACCGTGTCTTCGGTTGAACATCATGTATATCACAGTCGGTAAAGCTCATGGTTGCTAAACCGAGAACTCTCGAGTTCGAACCCTCGGGAAGATGAGGCTCGTTACCTGGGACAACCACTCTTCTAGGAGAAACAACTCCAAAATCAAACAACTGCTGCCTTGTAGTTTGTTCTTGGTTGGACAAAGGCTATGGAAGCAAATCCAAAAAGAAAAGCAGGCTGAAATTGGAGTCAACGGCCTCATTGGCGTATAACCAGTTGACACGTATACTTAATTGTGTTGGAGGGGATCCCTTCCAACCCTACTAAAATTAAGAACGAAGAAGAAGACAGTAGATGGATAAAGGTTTTGGTTCATACCAAGACGATAAAACAGAACTAAAAGGAGAGACGCTAATCCCAATCATGACTAATATCATAGAAATGCCTGGGAGAGACTAACTTTGACAACGATGGGGTTATTTCGATATTTACTGCTAGTCTGTAAAGTGTGCTTATGGGTGAGAAGGTTGGTTTCCAGAGAATGTTCTTGAGAAAAATGACCGGTGCATTATAGAGACTAGTTTCTCTTCTTCTTCTTCGTTCTTAATTCAAGTGTTGGGAGGGATTCCAACCAAGAATAAACTACAAGTCAGCAGTTGTTTGATTTTGAAGCTCCTCTACTAGATGGGTTGATGTCCCCAGCTGCCGGGGTTTCTTGTATATATACAAAATATATCTATATATCTCTAGGGGTGCGCTTGAAATTTTCGTGGGGGTGGGGGAGGGTGTGGCGGTGGAGCGGATACTGTTTAATTAAAGTATATATTTTCTATATACAATAGACAGATGACTGAAAGAAACCTTGTGTATTCCCATTATGCCGTCACAAAAGCCATGTGTTACGTACGTTCAGTGATTGTAAAATGCTAATGGTTGTTAGTTCGTCTATGTAAAAGTAAAGTTTCCTTCTCGAACCTGACGGTCCATGGGGCAAATGAAGTAGAGTTCACCTGTTTCTGTGACCTCGGCATATGAAGAGATAGTGTGCTCAGCACTATGCCCAGCCGCCTTAGTTAGGTTCCCATCAGAACGGGGTGGACTAAAGAAGGTTCAACTGACTTCAGGGGTAGGTAAGGTTCCTTTTTCAAACCTGACGGTTTATAGGGCAAGTGACGTAGAGTTTACTTGTTTCTGTGACCTCGGCATATGAAGAGATAGTGTGGTCAGCAATATGCCCAGCCGCCTTTACTTTCCCTAACGTGAGTTAGATACCCATCAGAGTTGGGTGGACTCAGGGACGGTCTACTGATTTGAACCCGTATTCTAACTCGAGACTTTCGGGTTAGCAGTCTAGCGCTCTACCGCTTATTTAAACATGGAATACTGTCTGAAATGTTTTATCTTCCTCTCTACTCGCGTCTGACTAAACTATGGACCATAAATTTGGCCTATTATTGTAACGCCAAAAAGTGGTCTCCTTAAGGCTGCTATACGAGCATGTCGCTAACAGGTAAGGGCCGAAGCAACAACAACAAAGAACAATTATTTTTGTTACTAATCTGCCTCATTCACACATCTTCCGTCACACTTCAGTGTAAGGCTATTTTTTTTGTGTATTACCAACACAACGAAATGAGGGTGTTTAAAATGGAATGATCTAGAGGCGGAAAAGGACGTGTTGGTCTGAATAATAAATAAACTAGGAAGGGGGTTCTCTTCTATACGGGTAACAGAACCCCCCGCCCCGTCCTCCACCCCCCCCCCCCCCCACCCACCCGGACCAAGCGATACCTTTTCAACAACAACCACCACCGTACGCCCACACAATTTCAACCGCGGCATCTGATACTTTTATTAATTTAATTTCATCTCCAGTTTCCCGCTGATTGTAGCGATTATGTCCCCCTATCAACACAACTGACTCCCCCCCCCCTCCCCCCACATTCAACGCCAAACGAATGTTTATCGTTGACGGTCCAGTGCGTTTCCTGACCAGGGGAAGCTATTACCGTGTTCTATACAGTTATTGTCAAGGGGAGACTATTAGCGTGTACTGTATGGTTTATCGTTTACAAATTCTCCTTGACGCCAGGAGTCAAACATGTACTGCATACCGGGAGGGGGATTCTGAAACCTGTAATCAGGACCGGGTCCTTTTCGTAGTCCAATTTTTAAACTAGTTTTGAATACATTTAGCTGCCCGGGGGGGGGGGGGGGGTAAAGGGGGAGGGGGTGTTGGAGTACCTGTCACTCAAGCACACGGCTCGCTTGAACGATCTCCCGTTCTAACCAATCAGATCACCGGGTGCGGGCCCCGTCGCTCTAAAAATGGCCGCCCCCGTATCGCTAGCGACCGCCTGCTGTGATCGGCAACGAGCAAGGGGAGATCAATGGCACGAAGGATAACTCCTCTCAATTTAGCCGGCAGCCGACGACAGTGCAAAAGACTCGCCAATCAGTTTCAGCGCAATTTCAGCAAATTGGTTTGCGATAATTTTGATGGAAAGCTAAATGATAACTTCGGCAGAGGAGGAAAAAAACACAGTGGAGTAGCTTAGCTGTGACAGTGTTCGAAGGGTCATTTGTGAATCGCGCCAATATGTTGTTTACACAATGATTGTTTAATTGCCGGGAACTAGAGAAATAACAGAAAAACAAACAAATTAACTCATTTGTTTAGAAATCCTACTTTCTTAAAATTGTAAGTAATTTTATTGTTCAATGTTTATTAAACTTTTAAATTACATTTTATTAATATTTTAAGAGGAAAAGATCTGCTATGTTGCTCAAGTAAATGTAATTTAGTAATTTGGTGTTAAATTAAAACAAAATAACAATTTAGGCCTTACTACTTTCAATTAATACTTTTAGAACAATAGAACGATTCATTAAAAATCTGCCCGCTAATTGCCTGAGAGTATTAATTTATGTATTCTTTAAATTTTAACACCAAAATGGAAATTTAACTTTATTCTATACATTTTGTAAATATTAAATTTATAATTTAACATCTTCACACTAACAGATAACTTGTTAGTGTTAACTCTAACCTTTGTAGCCTCCACACTTTAGCATTAATTCAACACAAATGATTTAAAGTTTATGAAGAAAAGAAAACAATATCACATTAAATTAACTTGATTCGGAATTTTAGAAAATTTCCAGTTACTTTCAAGAACAGAGCAATAAAATTCAATTAACTAACGCAACTCTAAAATTTTAATCGGTCTCAACATTCATAAAATTTGACTTAAACCAAAACTTAATCTATTTACTTTGAACCCATTCCTGTTTCGGAGTAAACTAAAAAGTATGTAAGTTAATTATAAAAGTATGGTTTAAATGTATGGCAATGCTCTGTAAATTTAATTTAAATACGAGCGTACCTTTAAAACAAATTTTGTTTTAAAGAATTTAAAGAACAAAAGCGAATAATCTTAAGTAAGACAAATGGCAATAACGGGGAAAACTCTAGAGAGAACTTGTATCTAATATGTTAAAAATTGTGTGTTGTGTTTTAAAACAGATGTGCTTATAAATACTTGATTATGTGGTTTGCGTATGACTTTTCTAAAGATGGGATGTATTCCATGTTTTTAGTATATTTAGATATTTAACAAAATTTGAAATAAAAAATGTTGGTTTTTCACAATGAAAATGTAAACAATCATAGAATAACAGGGTCCACCTGACTTCCAGAATATAAGCTGATTAAAAATATTATATAATATAAAAAATAAGTTGATATAAATAAACAGAAATCAAGCCTTAAACTGAACATTTGCGACTTTTACAATACTGATTCTTAAAATATTAAATTTCTGAATTTTTCCAGCTTTAAGTTTTTTTTTAATCACATTTTTTTTTTTTTGCATCTACTATAAATTAAAAAGCCAAAATTAACACAATACGCTTTGTTGTGTATGTTCCTTCATAAACATCGGAGATTTATTACAGTATAAATTCATAGTAACATAGTCTAAAAGACTACATTTAGTGAAAATTAAAAGTGAGTCCAAATTAAATATCAAAGCGCAGTGTATGATTTATCTCATCATTTGATTTTGTCGACAGATAAGACATTTTTTAACCGTGCGCATCATTGATCTCTGTTGACGGCACACAATAATCTTGTGTCTCCTAGTTTTAAAAAAATCCCACATTTTTGTATCGTCTTTTTATTCTTTCCTTTCAATACAATAAAGCTTGTTATGCGCTTCTTTATTTAATCAGATTTTATTTCGCCTAACTTGTCAATATTGTCATGTTATTTAAACTGTTAAATGCCTTATTTTAACATTTTCTAATCTTTTTCCAACCATATTGAACGTCGTATAGCGAACAGTTTTTTAATTATTTTACACTGTATTTTAACATTGTGTAACTTTTTATTTTATCGTCATTTTTCCCCACTTTTATTCTTTGAAATTGTATTTTAGGACGCAGTCCTAAGCTTAAAATGTGTAGAACGAGACCTTTTGCTGTCTTTTTTTTAAGACTTCCACGGGATTGCCGTATCTACTCAATTCGGTTTGGTACTTATCATAAGTAAAGTTACTATAAGTTAGCAAAGTCGGATCGAAACTGTAGACAACAAATCCTTAACATAGCCTATAGAAAAAATTACTTCTTCTACTCTAAAAAAAAATTGTTTGCTATAAAAAAAAAAAGCTGTATTTGAAACAACCAACGTTTTTACTTGAATGACAGTCGTATCGTGATGGAGGCTTATGTACGGAACACATAATGTTTAGAAATATTAGGAATAGGGACCTGTTTTTTATGACCGCTAATTTACAGTGTATTATAATCGTGGTTGCGAGATTTAGAAATATTTGAATAGCGTGGTCAATCTGTGTCTTTTGTCCAGTTGTGTTCAGCTGGTCTTGATGTTGTATTCTAGAGGTTTTAGTACCGACTAGAAGATCCAAGTCACAGTGCTGATTGTGGGCTTTAGTCTCCGATTCTATCAAATTATACATTTATTTTCTTTCTTTCTTTTTTTTTTTTGGGGGGGGGGGGGGGATAACCAAGTGTTTGCTTGAGTCTTGTTAAGAGGAATGACATATCAGCAATAAACATACACAATTCTAAAAACAAGTCATTCCTCCGCAAAGCAGAAGCATGTCTACCGTCCTCTTAAACGTAATAGAATTAATCTTTAAAATATATTATACTTTCCCCCCCCCCCCCTCCTCCTCTGAAAGTTTCAATGTCCCCCCGCCCCTCTCTCCCCCCCCCCCCCCCCCCCCCCTTTCCCCGATGCAGAAATGTCAGAAAGAAACACTGATTTACCCTGACACAAAACAAACACACAAACAACAACATGTAAAAGGCACACTATTGTGCTCATACACAATTGGCTAAATACATGAAGCATTCAGTTTAGGAAAGCAACATTAACCTTTTATGAAAGAACAGTTAATTTTTCAATGTTTTGTTAAATATTAAAAATATGATTACATTAAATGTAAAGCTAAGTGCATTAGGTAAAGCTATAACAATCAATATCAAAATAGCTGCTAATATTGAATCAATATCTTTTAAATGTGAATCCATTATATTTTTTTCTATACATCTTTTTTTTAATGATCAGCTTCTTATTGATTAAATGTGACAGAAATTGCTGTTGATAAGACTGGGTTAGACTTATGGTCTTGATTAGGTTTATGGTTTATAAGTGATTTTTGCAAGGAATCAGCAACACTTACTAAACTTATACCTGACGGTGATTCTACTAGTACCACGTATATTAACAACCACCGCGCACTCAAAATAGTGATTGCAGAGAATTATAAAGTGCCGGTACTAAATAAAACATGTTTTTATCATTAGATACGTCATTATTTTTCTTTTGTAGTCTCCAGGGTTCTACAACAAGACTCCTTGACTTAATCCTCCTGCATCAAGTCAACATGATACTGGCCGAGTCAACACAACTATGATCCAGGATGACAACCTTCTAGAAGATTCTCCAAGACAAAAGCTATGTGGCACCAGCGATGATCCCCGTCGCCCAGCCGGCCATGTTTTCCAGCCAAGTCGAGAACCAACTTGCCGCCCCTTTCTCAATGGACGCGCTCATGGCCGCCAGGTCCAACTACACGGCCACGTTCATGCAGCCGTTTGACCTACGCCGAAATGAAGGGGTGTCAGGTTACCCGGGGGATAAAACCTTCAGAGGACCGAATGGACTATTCCCGTCAATCTCACCGGTCATTTCGCCACCCACGACATCGAAAAACATCAACCCGGGTAACATCAGCGACCAAAGAACTTCTCCCTTTCACGATTTCCGGAACTCCAAACATTTCCAGAACTTTCCAGCCCCACCACATCTCTCACCTCTGGAATCTATTTCCAGAAACGGCGTCACCTTCGGCCTCTCCCCATTTGGACCGCACCGTCTTCACCCTTTAACCTTCCTCAACCCACCCTGTCTCAGCGCCGCGTTTCTTGGCAACCAGACCACGTTTCCAAGGAGACTTCCAAGTGACGCCCTATTCCCCACCAGCGCCGTCTACCCTCATTTGATGCGGAACATCTTCCATTCCTTGCCCTCTGCAGGCGATCAGCGGAATACAAACTCCCCGTCGACCCCTGTTAAACCCCACCCAACAGAAAAACAACTAGACGCACCCCACCAAGACGACAATCGATGTGAATACAAACACTACGAACAAACAAGCGAACAATCCCACAATCTTCCAGGCGAATTTCGCGCCAAGCCATCGCCAAAATCGACCATGTCTTCACACAGACGTCCCTCGAGATCAGTTTCCCCCTCTCGGTCAAGGTCGCAATCCTCGAGTTCATCCGGTTCACTCTCGCCACTAACTCACACACCGTCTGATCAATTCGACTCGGAGCGTCAAATCCCACCACACCACAACGCCAAAAACCTCCAAAATAATTCCCACCTTTTAATCGACACGTTTCCGTCTCAACATTACACCGGTGAGTTGGACCAAAAGAGGAAAATAAACCCACCATCCGAGGAAAGGTTGACACCGCACCCTTCAGACACATCTGCCCGGTGTCAAGGTTTGGATGTTCCCGAGACAAAAGAAGACACGGAGGATTGTCCTAGTGATTTGGAGTTGGATGTGGAGAATCTGGAAGCCACTGGTTCAGTCAGCGAGGCTACAGGTATGTCATGTCATAATTTTATTTAGTCACCCTACTTGCACGATAGCCAACAATTCTATAATCTCATCTAGTTATGTTCTTCTTGAGTCAAATCGATGTTAGGGTTACCAGTAAGTTATAATCAAAATTCGGGTGAGTGCTAGGGTTAGGTTAGCGATTCGGACAGAATTATGACAGGGAGTTGGGCCGACAGGGAAGAAAGGCCGACATATAAAATGCCGACTTATATAAGACTATCAAAAAGGCCGGCATCGAAAAGGCTGTAAGCAAAAAGGCGGACTGTTCGTAAGATCATTGTTCCTGTAAGCTTGTAAGCTGCGCGGCCATGCGGCCTCACAGTAGTTAGGGCACCACCATTTTTTGGGGCACCACTGTAGTTAGGGCACCACTGTAGTTAGGGCACCACTATAGTTAGGGCACCACTGTAGTTAGTGCACCACTGTAATTGGGGCACCATTGTAGTTAGGGCACCACTGTAGTTAGGGCACCACTGTAGTTAGGGCACTACTGTAGTTATGGCACCACTGTAGTTAGGGCACCACTATAGTTAGGGCACCACTGTAGCAAGTGCACCACTGTAATTGGGGCACCATTGTAGTTAGGGCACCACTGTAGTTAGGGCACCACTGTAGTTAGGGCACCACTGTAGTTAGGGCACCACTATAGTTAGGGCACGACTGTAGTTAGGGCACTACTGTAGCTAGTGCACCACTGTAATTGGGGCACCATTGTAGTTAGGGCACCACTGTAGTTAGGGCACCACTGTAGTTAGGGCACCACTGTAGTTAAGGCACCACTGTAGTTAGGGCACTACTGTAGTTAGGGCACCACTGTAGTTAGGGCACCACTGTAGTTAGGGCACCACTGTAGTTAGGGCACCACTGTAGCTAGTGCACCACTGTAATTGGGGCACCACTGTAGTTAAGGCACCAATGTTGTTAGGGCACCACTGTAGTTAGGGCACCACTGTAGTTAGGGCACCACTGTAGTTAGGGCACCACTGTAGCTAGTGCACCACTGTAGCTAGTGCACCACTGTAATTGGGGCACCATTGTAGTTAGGGCACCACTGTAGTTAGGGCACCACTGTAGTTAGGGCACCACTGTAGTTAGGGCACCACTGTAGTTAAGGCACCACTGTAGTTAAGGCACCACTGTAGTTAAGGCACTACTGTAGTTAGGGCTCTACTGTAATTGGGGCACCATTGTAGTTAGGGCACCACTGTAGTTAGGGCACCACTGTAGTTAGGGCACCACTGTAGCTAGTGCACCACTGTAATTGGGGCACCACTGTAGTTAAGGCACCAATGTTGTTAGGGCACCACTGTAGTTAGGGCACCACTGTAGTTAGGGCACCACTGTAGTTAGGGCACCACTGTAGTTAAGGCACCACTGTAGTTAAGGCACCACTGTAGTTAAGGCACTACTGTAGTTAGGGCACTACTGTAATTGGGGCACCATTGTAGTTAGGGCACCACTGTAGTTAGGGCACCACTGTAGTTAGGGCACCACTGTAGTTATGGCACCACAGTAGCTAGTGCACCACTGTAGCTAGTGCACCACTGTAATTGGGGCACCATTGTAGTTAGGGCACCACTGTAGTTAGGGCACCACTGTAGTTAAGGCACCACTGTAGTTAAGGCACCACTGTAGTTAAGGCACTACTGTAGTTAGGGCACTACTGTAATTGGGGCACCATTGTAGTTAGGGCACCACTGTAGTTAGGGCACCACTGTAGTTAGGGCACCACTGTAGTTGGGGCACCACTGTAGTTGGGGCACCACTGTAGTTGGGGCACCACTGTATTTAGGGCACCACTGTAGTTAGGGCACCACTGTAGTTAGGGCACCACTGTAGTTAGGGCACCACTGTTGTTAGGGCACCACTGTAGTTGGGGCACCACTGTAGTTGGGGCACCACTGTAGTTGGAGCACCACTGTAGTTATGGCACCACTGTAGCTAGTGCACCACTGTAGTTAGGGCACCACTGTAGTTAGGGCACCACTGTTGTTAGGGCACCACTGTAGTTGGGGCACCACTGTAGTTGGGGCACCACTGTAGTTGGGGGCACCACTGTAGCTAGGGCACCACTGTAGTTAAGGCACTACTGTAGTTAAGGCACCACTGTAGTTAAGGCACTACTGTAGTTAGGGCACTACTGTAATTGGGGCACCATTGTAGTTTGGGCACCACTGTAGTTAGGGCACTGTAGTTAGAGCACCACTGTAGTTGGGGCACCAATGTTGACTCCTTCACAACGCTTTACGTCATGGTCCTCTAACGTCTTCATTTGTTAATCTCTGATGTTATTTAGCCATCTTCTCCTTTGTCACCCCCCCCTCCTCCTCCTCCCTAGCACCATATCCTTCAGGATTGTCTTCTATATGCCTCCGGGTAGAGTCACATGACCACTCAGAATAATTTCTTTTTACGTTTCTAATGTAAAAGTCAACAAGGATGATAATTACTTGTAAAGACTTAAACTGTTGGTATTTACCCGGGATATTAACTAATTGCCTAACCTTAAACCTAGCTATAGAGTCGTTAAAACATAACCCTCGCCGCTTGCCTTATCTTTACCCGTAGAATCATCCAATCCTAAACATTCTTATAACCGAACACTTACATTAAACCCGTTATTTAGTTATTCCGATTGAAGATTTTAAAAAGAAATTTTCACTGCCACAATCAGTGACTCTCTCACAATATTTTCTCTTGGGGTGCGCTTGAAACTGTTTTTTTTTGGGGAGGGGGGGGGGGGGGTGGGACGACTAGATGATTTTCCGGGGGGGGGGGGGGGCGGAAACTGGTAAAAGTATATATTTAAATTATGTTTTATTCCGGGGCGGGGGGGGGGGGCACAATAGATTCTATTTGTAGTTTGTTGCAAATCACAAAGTTTGTACAGATATTAAATATAACTTGATTCCCAGGGGGAAGGAGGGGGGGGGGGGGGGGGGGGGGGAAGAACTAGAAGTTTTTCCGGGGGGACGGACACTGGTCAAAGCATATATTTAAATTATATTTTGTTCGGGGGCGTGAGAAGGCACAGTGGATTCTATTTGTCGCAAACCACGAAGATTGTATAGATACTAATTATAACTTAATTCCTGGAAGAAGGGAAGGAAGGAAGGAAAAGGGGGGGGGGGGGGGAATTTCAAGACATGTTCTATTATATCAGGGCGATCTATTAGAATATCATATAAAGCCGTATGGGGGTAGGGCAGGGTAAATCTGTCCCAGTTTTGTTTTACATGATACGTGCATGATCATTAAATCCTAATCAATGGGATTAAAGAATCATTGTCAATGGGATTAAAGAATCATTGTCAGCGATTATTGCAAACAAATATAGCTGTATGTCTAATCGTTTGTGCATGGTCATGCGAGACAGCAATACAGAAAAAAAATGTATGTATGTAAATAGGCATTAGATATTCAATGCGGTTCCGTGTGATCTCCTTGTAATATCGTAACGCCCCATTTCGTCCGTGATGTCTTTGACGCGTTCAAATGTCTTGTGTTCAGGTTGGTGGTTGTCTTTCTTGTCCTGGTGCTCCGTGTCCCCAAAGTGTCCTAAGTGTTATTAGCCAGATTATTTCGTTGTTGTAATCGTGATACTATTGCACAGCTACCTGGGTCTCCTGTAGTTCTTTTCTGTCCTGATGTATTGCTGTCCTGATGTATTGCTGTCCTGATGTCTTGCTGTCCTGATGTCTTGCTGTCCTGATGTCTTGCTGTCCTGATGTCTTGCTGTCCTGATGTCTTGATGTCCTGTTGTCTTGCTGTCCTGATGTCTTGCTGTCCTGATGTCTCAATGTCTTTTTGTCTATCTGTCTGGCTGTCTGTCCTGTTGTCTTGATGTCCTGCTGTCTTCCTGTCCTTATATATTTCTGTCCTGCTGTATTGCTGTCTTGTGGTCCTGCTGTCCTGCTGTCTTGCTGTCCTGCTGTCTTGCTGTAATCTTTGTGTACGGCTGAATGCTGTCTTGCTGTCTTGGTATATTTCTGTCCTGCAGTCCTACTGTCTTGTTGTCTTGCTGTCATATCTTTCTGTCCTGCTGTCTTGCTGTCCTTATATGTTTTTCTCCGGCTGTATTGCTGTCTTGCTGCTCTTATATCTTTCTCTCCGGCTGTCCTGCTGTCCTTATATCATGCTAACCTGCTGTCTTGCCGTTCTTATATATTGCTGTCTCACTGTCCTTATATTTTTATGTTCCTGTTATATTCCTGTTATCAATCTTCACGTTTTAATTTGACACTTCGCATCACATTGTAAAATATTTTCTCCGCTCTCAAAATCCCATCTAAGATCTGAATGGGGACCCATATCCCAACTTGAAAGAGCCCATCCTTCTGACAACTTTTCATTCCAGATTTTTTTAATGGCACCCAAGGCGGAAGAAAGGAAACACGACTATCTTCGTAATTCGGCGAATTAAACAGATTATGCCACTTGCAGGCTTTAGCTATAGCAGCACCCCACCCCTGCGCTCTGTAGTTTTTAAATTCAGACGAGACGCTAATCCACCCTTTAATCCCCCTACCCTACACACTTCTTTTTTAATTGTTTATCTTTGTAAGACAAAATGATTTGAACTTTTTTTTTAAATGCTGTACTTGAATTGACTTCATCTTCTTCTAAAGATAGGGATATCACACAGCCTGAAGATAAGCGCAGTTTAATTGAGTATAAGCATTTCATGAAACTATGCACTCGCATCCACTCGCATCCACTCACCTCCACTCACATCCACTCACATCCACCCACATCCACTCACATTCACTCAAATCCACTCACCTCCACCAACCCACCTATCCGTCTTTCCTACATATTGGACGTATTTGTTGTTCTAAATAGTTTCGGGAAGTAAATAAATTAAGTGCAAACAACAACAACAAAAAAAAAAAAAAGAAAATTGCGCTTAGCAAAGCAATATTTATTTTTTGCAATAGACTTTGGCTCCAAATTGTTCTAAACTTTATTTGCCAGAAAGCACAT